CCCGCCATGGCCAGCTCCCGGCGCAGCGAGCCCGGCGGCACCAGAACGGCTGCCCGCCCACTTACTGTTGTCAGGGGGGCTGCTGGCGAGGAATTCGGGAGTGGGGCCACTGCTTTTCTCTGCCAAATCAATGGCCATTTGGATATCCTCAACCCACTTCTCCATCTCGGACCTGCAGCTGAAGAGCCGGGCGGCAGGGTTTCAGAGCAGGGCGGGGCAAGGGGCAGACAGGCGAGGGGCGCGTGTCCGCGTTACCTGGCCGCCACGACGATGGACTGTCGCTGGCCCCGGAGGGTTAGGCAGTGGGGTACACCCCACTCGTCCTCGCTTTCCTCGATCTGTGGGACGAGTGCGCATCATGTTACTGCCAAGGGGCAAGCGGCACACTCGGCGCATTTTCAAACGTTCACCACACTGGCTATGGCTCAGAGAAACCGAGTCGGAGAAATCACACTCAGAGAGCCGAAAGGAAGGCCCAAATGCACTGAACTGCTTTCTGGCAGAGCCCGTAAACTTCCCTGTATCCGGTGGCAGAGGAGAGTGGGAGGCTGAGCCGGGGAAACCATCCCGCGCACTGGCGTCCTGGCCACCATCACGGATGCCCACGGGCGCATCTCTGGGGCCGGACGGGTGGCTCCCCGCTCGAGGGCCGGGCTCCACCTCGCCACATGGGTGGTGAGGACTCTCTTTCGGGGGCCCTGGGCCCAGGCATACCTCAAGGCCACGTCAGCTGGCTTCCTCACTTGATTCTAGAAGGAAGTTACCCGTACATCTCACGTGCACCAGGAGCCGTGTCCCGAGCCCCTCTCGGGGAACCCGAACGGGGCCTAAGGTGCCTGGTTACGACCCTCCTTCTCCTTCCTCAGCTGGCGGTCTCCCGCTCCCTTTAGCTCGGTCTGCCACCTGCAGGCAGTGCACAGGGAGGGGCCCCGATCGCATGCCCATGGCGCATACTCACGGTCATGCCATACAGCGGGAGCTGTCCATGGACTTTAAACTGATTCGAGGCCGTCAGCCCCCTGCTCGTGTACAGCAAGACGTCGTTGAACTAGAGGAGCAAGGACAAGTGCGGATGAGCTGGATGGGCTCCGCTCAAACAGCAGGTGCAGAGCGTGTGTTTTCAGGATCTTGCGTGGCAACTCGCTGATCGCAGCCCCTCCGGCTGAGCCGCGCCGGGCGCTTCTCCTGCCTCCCGGGTGGCCCGGGCCCACCCTGTGACCCCGTGGGGTCCCCCATCGCTGTGAAGACCTCCGGCTGTCGGCACTTACCAGGAAAAACATGCGCTGCTGGAGCCCCTTGCCGGAGAGCTTGCTGAGGCTGCCCAGGCGAATGAATTCCTACGGAGCAAGCAGACCCCAGCGGTTGGCGGGGAGATGCTGGTGGCCTTATGCCACGCTCCCTTTCGTGGCGAGAACCACCGCCATCACAGTTACTGTTCACCGAGTACTGCTGTCCCTCCCAGGAACCCACAAGGCAGGGACTCCGATGGGCTCCGCTCGTGCAGAAACCAGCGCTCAGAGGCCCGGACCGTGTGGTTCCGCGGCTCTGCGCGCAACCCCCGGGCCCGGCGGGCTTCCCGCTGCAAGGGGGGGTGGCAGGGGCCCCAGCCACATGCAGAGTGGCAGCAGGGCACTGAGACGACAGATGAGCCAGAGAGGAGTTACCCCGAACCCAGGAACTGCTCCATGACTCAGCTCTGGTTCCTGGAAACCAGGAACTGTGCTCTAGGATAAAACAGCCAGAAGCAAGCGCGTCTAAGGAATTCTTCCCCCCAGATTAATAAACTAGGGGACGCTGGTCATTCGGGGCACTTAACCCCCCCACCCAAAACTATCATTTTTAAAAAATTGTGGTAAAATACATATAAAAATGACCGTTTGTGACCTTTAGTGCATTCAGAGAGTGTATGCATTGCTACCATCTAGGTCTGGATGTTTTCACCACCCAAAAGGAAACCCGTGCCCACTAGGCAGCCACTCCCCACTCCCCCCTTTCCCTAGCACCTGGCTCCCACCAATCCATTTTCTTTATGGATTTGCCCATTCTGGATATTTTCTATAAATCAAATCTTGTCATATATGACCTTTTGTGTCTGGCTTCATCCACCCAGCGTGTTTTCAAGTCTTACCCACACTGGGGAATGTATCAGAACTCCCTTCCTTCCCGGGCCTACTTCATTGTATGGATACGTCACACTGTGTTTATCTACTCACCTGAGGATGGACACTTGGGTTTTTTTTCCCTACTGGCTACTATGGACAGTGTTGCTATGGACACTCACGTTCAAGTTTTTGTTTGAGGGGGCACCTGGTTAAGTGTCTGCCTTCAGCTCAGGTCACGATCCCAGGGTCCTGGGATCGAGCCCCGCCATCGGGCTCCCTGCTCCGCGGGAAGCCTGCTTCTCCCTCTCCCGCTCTCCTCTCCTCATGCTCTCCCTCTTTCTCTCTCAAACATAAATAAAATCTTAAAAAAAAAAAAAAGGAAGTGTCCCATATATTTCTAAAAAAAAGTTTTTTTGGTTTGAATACCTGTTTTCAATTCTTCTGGGTATATACTGAGGAGTGGAATTGCTGGGTCATATGGAAATTCTCCGGTTAACTTATTAAGGAACCACCGAACTGCTCTCCGTAGTGCTGCTTCTGCAACATGGCTGCAAGCTCATTAATGTTTTTCACATTATTCCCGTAGAGGCGGGGTCTCTGTCTGCCTCCCTCAGATATGGGTGGGCTGGGAACTGATTTGACCAATAAGTGTAGACCTGACACTGTGTGACTTCCAAGACTGGGTCAAAGTAGCCTCTGCTTTGTCCCTGGGAACTTGCTCTTGGAACCCTTAGCGGCACACAGCATTAAGACAACCCTGAACCCAGGGTCAGCCAGGCTTCTCATGGGCTTTGTGGTGCACAGTCCCAGCTGAGCCTCCAGATGTCCCTGCCAGATGACAGCCTCGGACCCTCCAGACCAGCCCATCTGGGACCCCTGTCAATACACAGGGAGCAGAAGAATCACCTGGCTGAACCCTGCCCAGTTCCTGACTCGCAAAACCATGACCTATTTGGAAAAGTTGTCTTTAGCCACTACACATTGGAATAGTTTGCTACGTATCAATAGACTTCTAGAACACCTGCCACCAGACTTTTCTGTGCTCACAACAGCTACTGAGCCAAGGATTCAGCCAACTCATTTTGATTCTATAGACTTTTGCACAGCCTGACTCAACTCTGTTTTTTTATGAAATGTGGATCAAAGACCATGTCTGCTGGCAGTTTCAGTGATGTGTTTTGGGGACCAACAAAGGAACATATAATAAATCCTCGCAGGTGTGGATGCTATCAGACATCAACAATGCGATCCGAGGAAATGATGTCGGAGGGGGGGCATCACTGCCGGGCAGCCGAGAATGGGCTCGGGACTTGAACCTGCTGCTCCCACCTTGCACAGCTGGAACACGTGTTTTCTAACCATTCTGAGGGAGCGTGACTGTTTTCTGTGCGGGAGACGTGGTGCCCTGGGACACTCACTGCAAGAAGACAAGGGAGCCCCGTCTATGTTCCGGGGGGCTTCAGCGGCCGGGAGCAGAAGGGCTGCAGACTCAGATATCAACGTCTGAGGCTGCGGATGGAAAATGTCTCGTGCCTAGAATTCTTCTTTTTAAACCACACAATGGGGAGGGGGATGGCCTCGAATGTCCTTAAGAGCAAGCTGCTTCCTTCTGGAGGGAAATCCAGTCCACACCTCTGAGTTTTAACCAAACGGACCTCACCCACCTCCAGACCCTGCTTCCTTTCTGAATGCGTTCCTCCGACAGGAAGGCCAGCCCAGGAAAAGCTCTCCCTCAGGCACACAGTTCTTAGGATAAACACCATCAGGAGGGCTGATGCGGGCCAAAGTGTGCTGTGGCCTTTATGCCTGGGGGAAGAATCCTGCCCTCCAGGATGTGATACTATCTAAGACTGACCCCAGCAGGAAGGTGAGCAGGATTATGCCATGCTAAGAATTATGCTGCAGTAGCCGAGGGGGTGTCTCTAAAATTATCTGCTCCCCTTTAAATCCCAATTTTTAAAATTCTACTTACAGACAAATCAGAGCTTTCCTCCCACCCATGAGGTTATTTGATAATTTAATTAATGATAATCAATTAGCCTTGGTATATGGACTACCCCATCTTAGAACTTGTTCCCCGGAGGCCTCTGAGTCCCTCCCTCCCATTTCATTCAGGGTTGACTTGAGGCTGGTTGATGAACAAAAGAATATGGATATAAAGCAGTTAGTAACCAGCACCCCACTTCCAACTTCGCCTTTATAAATAATCATGAGCACGTGGTATGTACCTGACATCAGCTGCGTGCTTCTATCAGCACCTTGTGGGAGCCTGTAGGTTCAATATTATCCCCATTTTTCAGATAAAGAAACTAAGGAGCAAAATGATTTAGAAGCCTGCCCAAGACCAGTGAGTGACAGAACCCATATTTAGCTAAATGTCTTCCACGATGCTATGCTATGAATCACTACCATTACAGTTAAGTGTAGACTTAATCTCTTTAAGTAACTATAGGTGGGGGAAGGAGAAAATAAGTCACATTTGTTGTGTTATTTTTACACATTAAATCTCATTTGATCCTTATGGCCTACAAGGGAGAGCACAGGATGCCCATGTTATAGAAAGGAAGAACATTCTGGTTGTTTGAAACACCCAGCTCTGGTGGAGCTAGGACCTGAACCTGGGGCCTCCTGTTCCAATCTGCTCCTCTTTTTATAGCACCAGTGGGGACCTTTCCTCAAAATTAAAAAAAAATTTTTTTTTAAAGATTTTATTTATTTGAGAGAGAGAGCACAGCGCAGGGGGTGGGGTGGGTAGAGGGAGAAGCAGACTCCCCATGGAGCAGCAAGTCCAACGCAGGGCTAAAAAATTCTTTCTAGGTGGTCTGTCTGCCACCTACAGATTTTAGAACATCCAAAGTTAAGAGAAAAATCACACTGATTTCCACTGGCCTTTACTACGGCTTCCGTGTGGATGGGTCAGCGTGGTTGTTATGTGCTGAGGCCCGGCAGAATGTTCTCCCCTGCAGAGCTGAAGCAAGCCCGGCTTTCATTCCTAGTTTTCATTTCAAAAACTAGTTTTCCGTTCAGCCTTGTAATTAGGCTCCCTGTCAGAGAGACCCAAATACACGGGGAGGTTCCCTCGTCTTCCCTGCGTTACAAAGTTTCTGGGGCACCTGCCTGGCAGACAAGACGGAAAGCGCCTGGCGTACCAGACACAGCACCTGTCTGAAGACTAGGCAGCTATGGGGGTGGGCGGCTCAGGTCGTGATCTCAGGGCCGTGAGATCGAGCCCTGCGTCGGGCTCAGCACTCCGTGAGGAGTCTCCTGGAGAATCAATCTCTCCCTCTGCCCTTCTCCCCTGCTCACGCATGCAGGCAAGTGTGCTCTCTCTCTCTCAAATAAACTCTTAAAAAAAAAAAAAAGATTAAGGCAGCTGTGCAGCAGACCAAAGGCACCAAAATTTTCTTTGGAGCCTGGGTGATGTATACTTTGGAATGGGGCCGCTCTAGGGATAAAGATCCCATAGACAGAGTGGATGTACCACCTAATATTTTTTTGATCCCTGGGCAATGATGGCTTCCTAGGAAAAGAACTGAAAGCAAGCAAGCTGCCCTGTATTTTCACACGCCCCTGACCTGGAAGGAATGTGTGCACACAGTGAGGCCCTGCTTCCCCGTGAGCGACCTACATTTCGTGAGGGGCAGGGCGGGTGAAGGTTAACAGCTTAAGTGAAAGCGCATCTCTCCGAGAATCACGTTCTGGCTAAAACGTTATTTTAATTCTAAATTAAAATTATATTATGCACAGAAAACTGCATCTTTTAAAAATTCTTTTCATCCTTACACGGGAATTTACGTGCTTTGGGGCGCTAATTTTCCTGAGCCTTTGTATCACCATTTTACCCCATTGTTTAAAAAAAAAAAAAGTTTTCCCTTAGCTGCCATTTCCATTTACCTAACTTTTAAAAGGTAAAATAAGCTATCTCAAAGCCTCTCAGAATATGATAGGAGGAAAGTAAATTAGCCAATCAACCAGTAAGGAAAAAAAGTAGAATAGGAGGTCAAAGGCTTGCTTTATGTCCTCCTAACACAGGTTTGAGTGACACGGTCATGGTCAAGGTTGTCTTCCTAGTTGCCGTGCAGCTGGAAGGAAGCCACTTCACTCGGGAGGAGGGTGTCTTAAACCAGAGTCCGTATTCAAAAGGTTCAAATTTAAGTCACTTAAACATTGCCTTCCTGGCTTGGCCTCCAGCAGCTGCTTACCCTTCCTGGAATCACGAGATTGTCGATGCCAATCAAGTCTTTCTTGAGTTCGTGCAACTTCTGGAAATTCTCCATCTTGATCATCGTACCGTGAAGCTGTGCCACCATCTCAGTAATCTCTGCTAAAGCAGCTAACGAAGCGAACAGACACAGAAACACCAGGATGGATGGTAGACCAGGGTCTCCCCCGCACCCCCACACCCTGGTAGCAGCCCTCTGGGTAACATCCCCAGTAGCTGAACTAAGTTAGAAGCCATCCTCCTGGGGGAAAACACTGCTATTCCTAATAAAAATTTCTCACAAAAAATTTTGCATTATGTGTTTATTTGCTTTACTTGAGTTTCCTAAGTGCATTTTGGAAATGTCAATGGCCCCTTCGTGGCTATGTGGTAGACAGCTGTCCTTGGGCTGGAAGCACCTGGCACAGAGGGGCAAGCGGGAGGGGAGTAAGCGGGAGGGGACCTGGAATTCTGTCCCCAGGGCAGAGGTTTCTACCCACCTCCTGTTACCTGGAAAGAAGAGAGCACAGGGGGGCCACAGAACAATCTGGGACAAAGGAGGGATCCTTCTGTGAGAGAGTCTCCCTGATAGTGTGACACTTTGGGGCACCTGACATTCCAGCACAACGCCCCCCCCCCCCCCGGTTCTTCCTTCTGCAGCAATTACACCGTTTACCAAGATGACTGCAAAAGGCCGCTTTATTCTGCAGTATGGGCACATCTCCCTTACGCGGGTACATATCTGATATGGAAAAGGAGCTGATGCCCAATTAGTGCAAGTTTAGTTTACGTCAATCCACAGTAGCTGAGCATTTAGGTATTTTCGTCAGGAAATACTTGTCAACGGGGGCGCCTGGGTGGCACAGCTGATTAAGTGTCTGACTTTGGGTTTTGGCTCAGGTCATGATCTCAGGGTGGTGGGATCGAGCCCCGCGTCTGGCTCCATGCTCAGTCGGGAATCTGCTTCTCTCTCCTCCTGCTCACGCACACTCTCTCAAAGAAATAAATCTTAAAAAATTTTAAAAATATAAAAAAACTAATCTGTAAGATTTGTCTACATATCCTAGATACCAAAGGATTGATTTTTCTGCAACAAGCCCCACATCCCCATTTCCCTCCTTAAAACCCTCCCCCGTCTTCCCTTTGCTCTTCCTTGCAGTCTTGTGGGGTTTATGAGACCCCATGAGATCTGGTCTCTGCTTACTTTGCCAGTCTTGTTTCTGCTGCTATCCCTCTGTGTTCTACACAGAACTTCTACTTTCCAGAATGTTCCATAGTCTCTGTCCCCTGTGGGCCTCTGTACATGCTATTCCCAACTCTATCCAGGAAAACTCCTATATTTTATACATTAGATCTAAACTTAAAATAACCTTTCCCTCAGAAAGCTCCCCCTGAGCCCCGAAGGCTGGGTCAGGTCATAGGTCAGGCTGGGTCAGGTCATAGGTCAGTCACTGCCCAGACGTCCTGCCCTCTGTACCCACTAGTCGGTCCTGTGAGTGGGGCCACATCTGCGTTATTCCCTCTCGTATGCCTAGTACCCAGCAGGTGCTCAATGCGTGTGTGCTGCATGAGACTGGTCAGGGGCCAGAGCATGATGTTTTGACTGTAACCTGAGGGAATCCAGTGTCACCCAGCTTATAAGCAAACGAGTAAGAGGTACATTTAGAAAAAGAGGACATAGACGGGAGGTGTTTATAATACTTTAGGAGAGGTACCAGTGGCCCAGGTATCTCATCTGTAAAATGGGGTAACAGTTCTTACTGTTGTTGAAGTTGCTGGTTGTTGAAGGGAGTAAAGGCGTCAGTATTACTAAGATACCCGGCTCTGTACCTGAGGGCTTGGTGCTGAGCCAGCGACAGGGAGTAATATCATCATGACAGGAGGACAGGATGGTCAAGAACATGGGGTCTGGGTTTGGGCTCCGAGCCATTTGCTTTCCAGCTGTGTGACTCCGGGCATGTTAACCTCTCTGGTCTCAGCGGCCCCTATATGTAAAATGAGCTCACCCCTGCCGTGAATATCAGGAGTCAATACAGGTGAAGTGCTTCTTAAGGTGACCAGCACATTACAAGCGCCCAGCAGCAATTAGCAGAAGGACTGATTGTTAGAGGCCATTTTCCGCAGCCAACCCAAGGGGGGAGTGGGGAGTTTCAACCATGTGGGTAGAGGAAGGCTTGGGGTGGGGGTGGGGGGCTGACTCTAAGTGGGCCAAACCAGCCAAGATCAAAGAAGGGAGGGCCTGGGGGCCATGCGCACTTCCTTCGCGGAGAGACCAAGAGGTAACAGAAGGCGGGATCTCGGCAGCCCGCGCACAGCGTCTGCGGGCTGCCCCGCCCCCCGGCTCACCCCGGCAGTCCCGGAAGTCGGCGTGGTGGGGCGGGTGGTGCTTGCACAGTCGCTCCAGGACCTGCTTGTAGTGCATGAGCCGGTGCAGCGGGCGCAGGAGGAAGGTGTTGAGCGGCAGGTAGCACACCTTCTGCAGCTCGAAGTCTCGGCACAAGTTCTCCAGCCGCCGCGAGCCCCTGATGCCCGTCTCCAGCGCCTCCAGAGCTTCGCTGTGCTTCCACAGGTGAGCCGCCAGTTGCTGGGGGGAAGGAGACAAGTGCGCATGCGTCCCACCGCGCCTGCCTTTCCGAAATGAAGATCGCCTTGGCTTGCGGGGCTTCATTTTCGTTCTCTTTCTTATTGTCCCCATTTTGCTATTTATTTCATGATTTCAATTGGGTTCTCGGGATGAAAGAAAAAGCTCTAGGAAAGCATCACGCAGCTGAAAATACTTAGGGATTCTGGAGTAGGAGATGTATATGTTATCTTAGATGTGAGACTGGCGAAACGGAGGGGAATAGATCAACAGGAGCTCCTTCAGGGGGCCTGTGGTTTTCTTCTTAATGTCACTAGATGACCAATAGACCAGGGCCCATTCAATAAATGTCATACAGTCACCACTGTGCATTTGTTTGACTCACCCCTTTCACTTATCAGTGAGTATCTGCCATGCGCCACCTACTCTGCTCGATCCTGGAGAGCTGGGTGAGAATTAGACATGGACCCTGCTCTACTGGGGTCTGACAAAGATGCTTCGCTTGACCAACCTTTCTTCAGGCCCCTGAGCCTTCTCCTTGACCTGTCTGTGAACTTCCTTATTGAAAGCCAGTTTTAGCAAAAACCCTGCTAAGTCAGCCTAACCAGAACCCCTACACCCTGGATGTCTGGTCACCCTCGACATTGGGTTCCTCATCTCTCATCATCTCCAGGTGGTATCAGATCACCCCGTCTTCAGCAAAGAAGGCTGTCAGGTTGGTTCAGCCAGAACCTGACTTACCCTGATGTTTCCTCTTCATACGTTCCCATCCTCTGACCCTGCCCCTTGGCTAGAAATCCCTGCTTGCCCAAACTGTTTTCAGAGTTTAGCCCAGTCTCTCCCCCACTGAAAACCCCACCACAGGGGACCCTACCCCAGTCACAGTGGTCCTGAATAAAGTCTGCTTGACCATCTTTAACACATGCTGTTGAAGATTCCTTTCCTATCATAGCTATCACGGTGGAGAGTGGCGAGGGTAAAGAGTTGGGAGTTTAAATAAAGCATTAATGGAGGAATTCATTCTTCACGGCAGGTGGGGAAGAATCTCAAGGGAAGGACGTTTCCAGACAGATAAAGGTAATAAGATGGGCACAAGGACATCCAGGAACAGCAGTTGTCCTCAACACTCACTTCCTAGGGGCGGGCTTGCTATCCATGCGCTGCTCACCTCCACATCTACATTTCCATGCCCTGCAAAGGCTTCCTAAAGAGCCTGAGATGCAGTGAGTCCGGGTGGGAACCCCACGTTCCCTGCCTCAACTGAGATTCTCTAACCTCAGGATGGTGCCGCCACCAGCCAGTTACTCGGGACAGGAAAACCAAGAGAACACTCCAGATTCCCCCATGTTTTGAATCCTTTACCAAGTCCTTCCCATTCTCCCTCCTAAAAACATCAAACCTTTTCCTGTCTTTCTCCGCACGGTCACTGCCCTGGTTCTGGCCTTGCACCCCCCACCACAGTGGCCGTTCTCCATCGGGGCCTCGGCCTCCACGCCTCACCCCTCCACACCTAAGCCACTGACATGATTCAGTGACGGAGCTCAGCTCGTGGCCTCTTGGTTGGAACATGACAAGAGCTCCCCCCATCTTGGGACAACCTCCAGGGTCCTCGGCAGGGCACACAGGGCCCTTAGGATATAATCTCCTTACCCCTCCTATATTGCTTCTTGCCACTCATCCCAGGGCCAACCTGAACTTGAATGTGCCAGGCTGTCGCACTCAGAGCCTCCGCACACGACACTCCCGTTTGGACTCCTGCCGGCCTCAGCAACTCCCTCGAAACCCAGCCGCCTCCACCGGTTAGGGACTCCTCTGTCTTCCTGTACTTAGGCTGTATTTGTACATCTTAGCCCTTATCACATGGTGTCCCCTGCTGGGGTTGTTGACTACTTTTAAAAAAAAGAAAAATTCATAGGAACTTGCAAAGAAATGTACAGGGAGGTCCTTCACCCAGCCTCCCCCAACGTTACCATCTTGTGTGACTATAGCATAACGCCAACACCAAGAGATTGACACTGGTCCAATCTGGAGTTTGTCTGGATTCTACCAGTTACACATCCCTTGTGCGTGCCTGTGCGTGCGTGTGCGCATGTGCAGCTCTATGCAGTGTTATCCATGTGCAGTCCCTTATTTGATTTTAAGAGAGCCCATCTGTCATGTTCCTATATCCTCGGGGCCTGAGGCACACAATAGGTGCTCAGTAAATGCCTGTTGCCTGCATGCATTAATGAGCAAATGAGGGGCACCTGGCTGGCTCATTGCTAGAGCATGCAACTCTTGCTTTCGCGGGGTTGTGAGTTGGAGCCCCATGTTAGGAGTAGAGGTTACTTTTAAAAACAACAAAAAAGAGCAAATGAACCCATGCATGCACCCAGCTGAGGCAGGAGTCTTGCAAGAACCTGAGAGTCTGGAGAGGCGAGTTCATGGTCAACTGGAGCAGAGTGGAATGTGAAGGACAGCGGGAAGGGCCTGGAAAGATCATCCAAGGCTAGACTATGAAGGCTTTCTTCGTCACGTTTTGGGTTTGGACTGTATTGTCCCAATCAGAGAGATGCAGGAGGGCTTTGAGCCTAGGCGGTCTGGCTGAAATATAAATGGTGACTGGAAGCTCGGCTTGCTGGGAGGAGGGGAGGCACCGGGAAGCAGGTCGAGTCATCCAGCAGACAGCAAACTGAGAGCCAGAAGGAGTAATGTGGTAGGAGTTTAAGAAGGAGAGGAAGCAGGAGTTGGGCGCTTGAGGAGACAGATGGCTCGCATGGAGGTCCCAGCCTGGATGAAAGGCGGATCTTTTTTATTTGTGTGATTTCGAAGTGCCTTTGTGCACCTGGGCAGATGTTTCCAGGGGGAAGGTCACAGCATGGACCGGAGATCACAATCTGGGTATGTGACTTTCAGGCAGGGATTGCAGCCCCTGGCCTAGCTGCCTCGGTCATGGTCACGAGTGGAGGGTCAGCTCCCCCGCTGAGTCCCTGCAAATGCAGGTAAATACACGGGTTTGTGTGTTGGGGGTAGGGGGCAGGAAGGACACTGCAAGCTGCAGGTCACTCTAAGCATTTTGGACAAAAGTGCTAACCTGGACTTCTACATCTCTAGAACCTTCTGCTGCCCTCTCTTCATACTTCATAAAAATTCTTTAAAACCAACTATAATCATTACAAGAAAAAGCAACCCAAACAAATTCTAAAAAAGGCCGCCAGTGGCTGTCTGAGCCTCTCCACCTATTTTTATTTTGCTTGCACAGAGCTCCATGCTATAAATGCTCATGGCATCCACACACCAACTCATGCTGCCAGCAGCCGATGAAGCCGACTCAACACAAAAATGCCAACTCACCAGACTGAGGAGAGAGAACGGCTATGAGCACAAACCAAGTATGTTCCAGGAGGTCTCAGGTGCGAGGTGAACAAAGAGGAGGCTGGAGGCCCACACATGTCAGCTCTCCATGGGCGAGCAGTAAAAAGGACAACTCTGGGGACTGTCCCCAGGGGGGCAGGGAATGGGCTGGCAGGTCTCCAACTGCCGTCCCTGGAGGACACGGTGGAGGCCAAGCCTCCTTGAAGGCAGTAAGTGCAGGCGAGAGCCCTCCCTTGGCAGGATCGTACAGCGGGTCCTTGAATAACGTCGGGGTTCAGAGCACGGACTCCTCCACACGGTTAAGAATAGGCATTTGACTTTTAACTCCCCCCAAACGCAACTATTAATAATAGCCTCCGCAGATCGTCCTATCAGGTCCTGGGTGCCTATGGACAGCGGTTACAGCCCAGGCCTCCAACAGCCCCGAGATTATTGTCCCTAGGGAACGTGTTCCACCCAAATCCCAAAGCAGCTCACCTTCATGCCCTGAATGTTCTTCAGCAGGACATCTCCGATTCTTTGGTAATCTCCTCTGACGTGGGCATTTGAGCGGCCTTCCCTGAGAACAGAGGCAAAGGGGGTGAGAACGAAAACATCAGCAGTGGAAACGTTCCCAGAAACGGTCCCAGCCCCAGAGCACTCAACAGCAACCTTCATGTCTTCTTTCCAATCCCCCGTTATTTCTACCTCTCCTTCTGGTGCTAATATTCAGTGACACCCAGAGAAGGGAGAGGTAGAAATAACGGGGGATTGGAAAGGAAGACGTGAAGGTTGCTGGGAAAGTCAGGGCAGATAGAAACAGAAGGGCTGGCTCCTCGCCCAGCCCCTGGCTTCCTGCAATAGACAGTGAACGACTTGATTCATTCCACTGGTTCTAACTAAGCATATGCTGTATAGACGACATCACAGGGGAGACCGAGCACCCAGACCCGCTGGGTAGTGAGAGCTTCTCTGGAATGAAGGGAGGGAGAGCATCCATTACGCTCCCAGCCTGGGTCATCAGCGGCTTCTGGATGCTTTCTTTAACCCATTCCTCTCTCCTCCACCCCAACACAGGTTCCTCAATCCTTCTGCTTCCTCTTAGCTACCAAAACAAATGTGGTTGGCACATTGCCTTAATTACTACTCACTTCTCTTCCAATGAAATAGGGATTCTCTCCCCACCACACCCTGAAGTGCTTCGGTGAAGGAATTCCATCAGCCTCATCACTACTAAACCACTCTGCCCTGTGTAACCTCTCTGGGCGAGAGCGCCCCACGCTTCTGGTGCCCCTTCCCTTCAGGCTCCCAGATTCCCCTTGAGGTCAGTCCTCACTGTTACCTCCTCCTGTTCAGGCCACTCCTAAGAGGTGTGTGTTCTTCGGGAATACACGGGTGCTTCTATTCTCTCTTCACTTGCTACTTCTTCCTGTGTAACCCCTTGATTCAGGATGCCGATCTGTACCCAGAAGTTGCTTATAGCTACTGACCCAGGGACTGTCTTTCTCATACTGTCCAGAGGGTTCTGCATGAACGACCCTGCAAGTATCTCAAGCTCAAAAGGTTCCAGAGTTAATTATCTTATTGCCCAAACCCAATCCTCTTCCTGTATTAATCCCCTTAGTGATACAATCGTTCTGCCCTATGCTCAAACGCCAAGGTAGGAACTCAGGTATCCTCGTCGGTCTCTCATATCCCCACCCACTGGATGGTCCCTGGAGAATGTTCAAGCAACGGACTCAGCCCCAGGCTCTGCTTTGGAGACAGTCCTCAGTCCACAGCTAATCACTGCCTCATATTCTGCTCCATCAACTGCAAGGTTGAGGCATCTTTGGATTTTTAGCAAATGGTTATTAATCCAGTCTCTATTAGAGAAGTTGGTCATTTGGCCATTCTGTTGATCCTAACGTGTGCCCGCTTTTAGCTGCAAGTTTACTGGCTGCTCTTCTCCTCATACACTTGGAGCAGAAGGGAGCTCCGGCCTGAAATGGAGGCTTTCTCCTTTCTAGAACCACCTGCCCCCTGTGCCTTCGCCATCACATGAAGCCCTTGTAGGAGCTGGAAAGCTCTCCTTCCCTTACCCCACTGCCCCCCAACACCTGAACAAAAAGGAAGACCCAGCTACGGAGCCACAATGTCTGATTTTGACTAAATGCCACACATTAATAAAAGGAGGCAAGACATAACTGAAACCTGATTTGTGGGTATGCAGATATTACTTGTAACTTATGTAAGTGACCCCAAAACTTTCAAATAGGCATGCCATTTGACAATGCAGCTAAGAAAGGTCTTTACTTAGTTCGAAGGACATAATTTAGATACTTTAGCAAGAGTCCTCTGGATTAGGTGGGCAAGGGGAGAAATGGGGGGGGGGTCCTGTGGCTTCATTAATATTCATAACAAGCAATTTCCTCCTCCTCACAGATACCACCCTAGCCCAGGGGAAAATCAAGTGCTGGAAAGCAGACCCTGGGGGAGGGGCAGAGCCCCACGGGGAAGTAAAACATCACTGACTTCACTTCCTTCCTTCTGCCAACCGTTTTAAAAGAAAATGTACTCACATTACAGCCCCAAAGTCAAGGGGACATTTTCCTGCATGGGCTTGCTAGCAGAGCCCTGTTTCTCTGTCTTTGGCATCTTTACTTTTGTTTTAGAAAGAGCTCTAGGTTCCTTTCATCACTGCCCTGTGCCTCTCGGGGAGGAGGCGGCGGTGATGTGGATAAATTCAAATGGGGCCAGCTCTAGGTGGTGTGCGGAAAGCAGGCTGGGGCCCAGGAAGTCAACGCAACCATTCACGCAGCCCTGCCCACCCTCCAGACCCTCCCCTCTACAGCACGTCGCCAGTCCCAGCCCCACGGTGGTTCCAGAACATGAAGTCAGCCCACGGGAACAGGACAGAACCCCAAATTCCTGCCACCGCCTATAGAAACACTGGCTGTTTTTACTTCCTGCACCCCAATCTGCAAGTTCAAAGCATCTGCTTTATCATGAAGAACTAAAAGGTCATGTCATTATTAAGAACATGAAAAAAGTTAGTAGCTCTTCCAGAACATCCTCCGGATGTTAACCTCACAAGAAAAGGGGCCTTGTTTAGAAGACAGGGCCACGTATTTGTTGTCTGCGTAATTACCGCGCCGCAACAAAGCTGAAAATTCTTTTGACAATTTCACTTTGGAAATTCATGTACTCGGATGCCTCCAGGATGCTCAATTCTGACCCGTGCACCACCCCGTGCACCACAATTCACATACGCCCTGGAGCAACATGTTAGCTCAGCATAGGGCTGAACACACACACAGACACAGATAAAGACACACACACACCATGAATTCTCCAAGTCTTCCAGACCCTCTGTAAACACACACCCACACACACACCATGAATTCTCCAAGTCTTCCAGACCCTCTGTAAACACACACACACACCACCATGAATTCTCCAAGTCTTCCAGACCCTCTGTAAACACTTCACTCACCACTGCGGGAGCGGGTCACTAACTCGGCAGCAGGCAGAGCGAGAAGAGGAAGAAAAGAAGGAGCAGTTCCCTGGCGGGGCGGGGAGGGCAACAGTGAGGCTGACTATGAGGGGCAGAGGGAGCCCCTGCACCTTTGATTCTGGCCCCCAGGAAATACACAACGCTGGCAGCAGGAGCACGTGGGCAAGGCCGACGGGAGAAAACACGGCTCTGGCCCCCCTTCACACCCCCAATCCCAGGGTCAACCTAAAATCTACGCGGAGCCCTAAAGCCACGTACAGCACATCCACAACTTCATCGGTGATACAGTCCCCCACGGGCAGTGTTTTCTGGGGAGCGGGACATTAGGCCTGGCTTCAGTCAAGTGTCGCAGGAGATTCTTTACCACAAATGCAGGTAGTGACCGACCCCACTGGGCTTCTCAAGTAGCCTAGTATTAATCCAAGCATGTTCATGAAGCACCCAGCCCTCCCCTTCTCACAACAAATGAAGCATCATCTCAGACTGAAGCACAAAGCTCACGCAGCTCAGAGCCGGAGTGTGGCCCCGCCACCGGGCTCTGGGTCTGGACGCTCCCTCACCCCGGGAGATGGACTGAACCTTGTGAGCCATTTTTAGGCCACATTTGCAAATTGAACATCATATCCTTGGCTCTTACTAGTCCCTGTGGGTTCTGTGATTTTAAAATGAAAAAAGTCTGTAATCACATGTATTTGTCTATCTATATATAAGTAGAAGGATAGCATATAAATAAGCAAATGAATAAAGATACATCTTCCATTAATGTGTGGGTGAGGGAGGGTGGCTGGGTTCAAAATTAAACAATTTAGCCAGAGTAATAGATTATATTTACATTCTATATCTAATACTTTGTTATATATAACATATATAATACATATAACATCTATAAATATATTAGCCACATGTAATCTATGTAGGTTTCAATATTCTTTGATGGATTTTAATATCCCTTGAGATCCCTGAAGAGGAAAATCAAAAGAATTTGAATTTTAATTCACATCCCCAGTTGTGGGAAAGAAGTTTGTGCAAGACGTGTCCTCACTGGGCTTGGGGTCCTTGGGTTTCCCTTTGGTGGCTACAGGTAAGGGATCCAGCCTCTGGGCCAGTGCCATCAGAAGGCAGACACCCTGTGCTCTGGCAGGTGTCATGCCCATCAATTCTAATACTGGGATACTCAAAGCCCTGACTTTCCTTCTGAGGTTTAACGCCAGGTCTCACTTAACAAGAGGAGCAAAAGTTACAACCCCACTCACAGACAGGCTTGACAGCACCCAGAGGAGACCTGAAGTGGTTCCCTGGGTTCAGTCCTGTTAATGAGCCACATATGAAAATGCAAGAGGACAGAAAAAGCATCTTAGACTCATCAGCGACCTGGGGAGGGCTCTCTCTCAAGTGTCTTCCAGCAGAAACCCATCTGCGGTTCAGGTAATTGGAAAAATTGTTTTCATTTTCCTAGGAAAGCAGCTTGCTCTCTATAGCCAGGAACAAGGCAGATAATCCAAGGAAAACTAGCTCCCACATATGACCGAGAACGTGTCATTTTACTCGTGTGCTAAAAGGAGACAATCACCACTGTCCCTGGAACCCCAGGTAGACAGTGGAAAGCCAGCTGGGACAGAATATAATGAAATCACAGTGTCCTTGTCGTGTCTTTCTTGGCTTTGAAACAAATGTAAAAATTTAAACTTTAAATAAAATTTATATAAGTAAGTGTACAAGCGATCTCCCCGCACAGTGTACCGGTAAACCCCATACACAACTTTTTTTCTATTGTTTATACTAATTTTTCTCATTTTTCTTCCACTGTTTATGCTTCCAAGCGGTTTTCTAGGTAGACCACATTGCCTTGTCCCCAGTGAGTTTCACTGCTGTTTACTTTGAGAGCAATGCTTTTAAACCCTTCTTGCCTCGTCTTATTCTTTAAACCAATGAAAAATCTTCGAATAAAAGCTCTTACACACAACAAGTAGCCCAATGTGGGCAAAGCGGGGAGTGCAGGGCTCAGAGAAGCACCCTGAGTCTTGATTTTTGACAGCTAACCTCAGAGATTCTGAATTCCAGGAAAGTGGATGCAAAGGACCTAATGTGCTGGGACATTCAGTCATGTTGGGAACAGAAGATGGCATTCTTCCATCATCTACTCCTGAGCTCCTTCTCCTTTAAGGCCTCGAGAACTAACAACTGTGCTGTCCAGGATGGTATCCACACGTAGCTGTTTAAATCTTACCTCTGCTTACCATGGAATCAGCCACACTAGCCCTATTTTAAATGCTCCGTTGCCACACGTGGCTAGGGGCTGTTACTGAGCAATGCGGACACAGCATATTTCCATCATGGACTCCAGAGAAAGCAAGAAGTGGGGTGTGGTCCTCCCTAGCTTTATCCCGACCAACCTGCAGAGCCTGGTGTTCCATAGGGAGGGGAAGACAAGCCTATTCCACCAGGATTGTTTTGATGGTCCAATGAGACAATTTAAAGGAAAATGTTTGGAAAGATGTTGCAGAAATGCAAGATGCTTTACTGTACAAACATTGCCAGTCTTAAAGCTATCATGATATTTAACAGCTCTAGAATACGGACAGTGATTTCTGTTCTGAGAAAAGGGTCAGCTGCCTGTTGATCTCGTGGCTTGGCCTGAGTAGAAAACAGAGCAGGAGCTCTTCAGGTCCCCCCAGATGCCCCTTTCCCCCTTTCAGATCTTATCAGGCTGCTTGCTGGTCTGGCTGCCTCCTCAACACAGAGCAGAACGAAGGATGAAACCAGAATGAAGACTGGGGATTGCGCCACATTTTGTTCACCGAGCACCGAGAAGAGTGACTGATCTATGGTAGGGATGCAGTAAATATTTGTTGAATCCACGAAAGCTGATCCTGGCCAAGTCTGCTGACAGAGGGATTCACATGCACACAGCTCAAGGCTCTGGGGTCAGATGGCCTCTGCCACCAAAGCCCCAGATGTGTGTGTCACTGGGAAGGAAAAGGTGCGTCACATCCTTGCCCCACCCACACACGGGTGTGCCTGCGTGCGTGGGGCCTGGAATGGCCTGAGCAGGTAGCAGGCAGTGGCTGTTTCAGATCACGGGTGGGGCTGGGGTTTCCTTGGCCAGAAGCTGTTCTCATGTTACAAGTGAACAGTCGTCAAGCTGCTTCTTTGGAGTTCTTTTTCTCTACATGTTAGGCCTCGGGCTTTTGGTGCTAAAGGCACAGTGACAGTCCGACCAGCTGGTTTCAAAAACCACTTGCGCCCTTAACTAGCTATGTGACATCTGCCACGTAACTCACCCTCTCTGGGCCTCATTTCTTCAACTCTCACCAACAAAACCAGCAAGCAGCTTCTCTATTTTTTTTTAATCAAAGGGATAAAATAAAAGTGCCCCTTAACAGTAACACACAGAAAGAGCCTTGTCTCAGACTGTAATGGTCTTTTTTTTTTTTT